TTTCCGCCATATTGATCAAAATTTGATCAAAAAATTGATCAAATCAGACCTATTTGATCAAAAAAAAATTGATTTCCGAGGGGAAAATGAAATGTCTAATTAAACAGGTAAACTTACACCAATTGCCAGCGGATTCAACACCGGAATAATGCCCTCGGCAGCGATGCTCTGTATGACACGTGGAGTGCCCAATAAGGCGCCGATCGTGGAGCTCAACGACGACACATACACCCCGCACAGAAACAACACCCCGGTCAACGAGACCCGTTCGGCGATCAACGAATCACACAGCAGATACTCTCGATCCACCACCGCGCCCAGTGCGATGATGAAGAAAAAACACACGATTGAACTGAAATTTCGGTTTTTTTGGTCATAAATTTACCACGAAAAACCGCAAAAATCACGCTTTATCCGGCTCAAGACGCCCAGCAGCCATCACCTCAAATTTTATTGGGATTCTCGGGATTTTATTTTGGTTTGGGTTAAAATTTGACATTCAATCAACCAATCAACCAATTAAGCATCATACCTGACTCCAACAGCGGACAGCTCACCCACAGGAATGCTGTGGTGTGGATCTTTCAGATCGCTGCTCATATTAACGCCTGTAATACAGTACAGTGCTCTTACAGTACACTACAGTGCCCTTACAGTACTCCTACAGTACTCTTACAGTACTCAGTTACAGTAACCAAGTAGTTTACCTGCCAGGACACCAAGGAAATTGGCGAAGAAGACGCCGAACACGGTGAAGAAGCTCTCGTGCGACGACTTTGTCTCGAAACCGATGCGTGAGCAATTCGTGCCCTCGTACATCGGGTCGGTGTTCAGCTCGAATTGTCTCGTCGAGATATGCGCTACGCCATGCGCTTAAAATTACGGTGGAGTACGGTAATTTCAAACCAAGTACGGTAATTGGGGGGTTATTACGGTAATAAGGTAATTTCAACGGTAAAATAACGGTAAAGCGGTAAAAGAAAACCTTCATCGACGGTAAACAATACACCCAGAAAGAAATCGAGCACAGCCAGCGTCAGAAAACCGAGCAG